TCATTGCCAAGCGACGAAAACCCAACCCCGATGGCAAACACCGGGGGGGGAGGTATTGCGTGGGGGGGGGGACGATAACACGGCGACGGGGGTGGGGGGCTGCTCGCGGGTCCTGGTGGCGGGGCTCCAGCTCCTCAAGCCGCGATCGGAGCGCCCCCTGCTTCGCCCTAGCCTCTTGGAGATACGCCTCACGCTCCGGCAGAACAGCCGCACGCTCCTCCTCCTGCTTCCTCGCCGCAGCAGCCAGAGCAGCCTCACGTTCCTCCTCTTGCTTCCTCGCCGCAGCAGCCAGAGCAGCCTCACGTTCCTCCTCCTGCTTCCTTGCCGCAGCAGCCAGAACAGCCTCACGTTCCGCCAAGCGCTCCGCGTCCTCGCGCTTCGCCTGCTCTTGCGCCTCCACCTCTGCTATCTTCCCGGCAAGACCGTCGCACCACATCTCGTTCAACCTTTGGTACGCCATAAATTCGTCGTGGGGCAAGAGGAGCAATTTTTCTTCCGGCGCGAGGGAGAAAGGAGGAACGAAAAGGGGGGAATCGGACGACACATGGGCCGCTTCTACGATATCCTCCAGAGAGTCACGTCCGGTGTTGTAGGCCCGCCCCAGTTCCGCCGGATCTGCTGTGGCGATGTTGTCCAGCAAATCATCGACGGTGAACACAATGGGTATGGGGGGGCTCTCGTCTCCTGCACCGGCCGCTGGAAACTGCTCTGCGGTGGGAACCTCGCCCTCGGGTTCGTAATCCAGGATTTCCACAGTGTCGCCCAGGAGTTCCACATTGTCGCTGGACATGGTGTCCTCTTTGATAACAAGAACAGGACCAGAGAGAGGGTAGCTACGATCGATTGTGGAAAGGGCAGCAGGGCCAGAAACAGTAGATGAAGGATAACCAACCGCAGTTGAGGCAGCAGCACCAAGAGCAGCAGAAGCAGTAAAGCCGGGTGCAACTTCGGGAAAAGCAAGCCGAGGTCCATGCGAAAGGCGGAGATATCCACAAGATAGCATACGCCCAGTGATAAAAGCTTGGTGCACACGAGGTTGAAGCGGATCCGACCAAGCAGAGAAAGCGTCCAAAAGCACACTATGCCACGCACACACAGCAGTAGAAGCTAGCACAAAAGGGCCCGTGTTACATGGAGACACGAGGTTTTCCGACCAAAAGACACGCAGAGCAGCACGGCGTTCCTCCGCAACTGGTGCCGAAGTGCGAGCAAAGACCGCTGTGGGTTTGCGCTGTTGAAAGGTTTCCATTTCAAATGCTTTGAGGGTGAACGATTCCCCGAAAAAAAGTGCCATGTGATTTCGAAAAATGGAGGGAAGGTTGGTGGGGCGGCTGACACCCAATTTGTGTGCACACAACGCGTTCCAAGTCGATGTAAGCGGAGTCAAATCGGAGAGTACAACAGGAAAATCCGCGGACATCGGCCGGTACGCCGGCATGAATGCAGTAGAGGTGGTAGCAGACGTGGGAAGCATGCTGTCATCTCGGGTCCCACTACACAAAGCCAGCAACTCAGGACGCTCCATGCAGAGGGTATCCGCCACAGAAATCACGTCATGGACCGCCGATGCAGACAAAATAGCTTTCGAGGGACGGCGAACGTACGAAAAATCACCCAAAACATCGCGATGGCCTCCGAGGCGCGTATCCTTTGCGAGGCCCCAGTCCCGCGGGTGCTTCGCAAAAGCATCACAAGCCAGCATCTCTACAGGAGAGGAAGCAGAGAAGAGGCTTTGTCTAGATTCTCATGGGTGGTGAGACCAAATAACAAGCAACCCGGTGGTTGTGAAAAAATGCGTGGCAACAACACACAGCAGTGTGGAAGCCGCGTCCGGCACCCGCTTACCGTGTAATGCCAGCTGACGCCAAGTTTCAAGGAGTGAAGCCGTGGGCGATAGCTTGCTCCTGGAGATAGATGAAGGTTCTGTCGTTGACACGCTTGTCCACGACCNTGAAGTGGGGATCCAACTTCATCTCAGGGGTTACACAGAGTAGACAATTCTAAGGGGGTAGGGGTCAGAAGGGTATACCTCCTGACCGACCCGCATCCTATCAACAAGAAGATGTACCCTATTCATGCTAGCAGCCACACTCCTTAACACCTTCCCCCCATTTTCGTGTTGAAGCTACGTGTTTCAGTGTACAGTCTAGAGCCGACCGTGTGAACCCTCAATATTTTTGTCTACTTTCTGCTCTCGAATCTCTCTGCGCCATTTTAAGTACGGGCCTGGAAATAAGAAGCGTAAAAATCGGGTTGAGGCTCAATCCCGTATTTTGGGTCGAAGGACCAGACAAAGGCGTTCATTTGCGTAAAAGCTGATGTCTTATTCGTTTGGACTGTCGCATCGTACTCCTGAATCTCATTTTTCTTGTTTTCTTTTCTTATTTCTGGGTAAGTATACAACAACACACCAAATATTCATGCAGCACTAACCAGAAAGCTCGGTACGGCGAACATTGTAGTACACAGCAGCAGTGGCTTAAAGCAGCCCACGGAGGCGTGGAGTAGCCACGCGCTAGCGCGGAGGGAGGCGACGAGGGCGCGACAATAATCACTCTCAGCTATTATAGGAAGGGGTGGGGTGGAAGCACGGAAGGAGCAGCAGTGGGACGTTTCGTATTGGATACGCTCCCCAGCAACCCCTTGTTTCTTGTGTAGTGGGAGTATCGCACGATCTGTTTCTTGTCGGGACGTTTCTTATGTTGTGGCCGACAATGAGCTGTGTTTCTTGAGACTCAGCCTAATAAATGTCCTTTTTCATATTTTTCGTAAAAAGCTTAGACTAGCCTTTTAAATTTTACGTATCTCCCGGCCCTTACTGTAAATTGTAGTTCAACGCTGCAAGTGCATGCTCGTGTGTTCAACCTTCTACCTTTATTTTTTTGTTTTCCTTATATCACACAACAAATCCATCTCTATCTATAGAAATAAGTCTAAGATAGATTGGCAATGAATCCATACATGTAGCGTGAGCGAAGGGCTACTGTATGTCTACGGTTTCCCAGAGAGTATATTCTACAACGATATCTCCCCTGTGGGTAACAGGCTCAACAAGGCAGTTTGGTAGCCATCTTGTGTATCTTTCTGTATGTTATGTTGGGAAGTTGTAGCCGGAAGATTTAGGGGAACTCGGTGTGTCGGGTGTTCTATTATGGCACCCTTATGTGGTTGCGGGGAAGCGCGTCTCGTGTAGAAATAAATACACGCAACAACATATTCGCCTGATTGAGAGCGAAGTATCTGATTGAGAGCGAGAGCCAAAAAAATTGAAATTTCGGGTCCAGACGCCTCTTGCCATTTCTTGGCAAGTAGGGGACGGGCTATTCCAAGAAGCGGTGCAAATTGAAGGTCTCATCAGCAGCTTCGCGAGCATATGCGTGTCATCGTCATCGGATGCTGCAGCGAGGAGCTAGACAAGTTGCTAGATTTGCCCAGATTGGCTATTTCTGCTCAAACTGTTTCAGGGCGGTATCGCGTCGGGCGGTGGGCTCTGCTGTAGCTTCTGCTCGCCGCTGTAACTCCACATCGAGAGACTCCCACAGGATGACCAGGGTAGCGGCTTGAAGCTACGGGCTAGCCCTTCAATTCAAGCTACACAGCAAGCTCCACCTCTCAGTGGTAGTCCGGCTACAGCGTATCGCGCAATCTCGCTCTCAATCAGATGCTACGCTCTCAATCAGGCGAATGAATATGTTGTTACGCACAGAAAGACTACCCATTCGAGATATACCCACAGTCGAACGGGATGTGGTGGAGTCGTTCTATTTTTTTATTTTTCTTAATATGACACAACGAGTCCATCTCTATCATAGAAAAGAGTCAGAGACAGATTAACAATTGAATCATAACGGCTGGATCCGAGATGCCGGCTAGCTCCGCAATCCAAGAGAGGTGGGTGGCTGAGCTAAAACCGGAATGACTGCATGCGTGCTCCTCTCAGCGACGTCGCTGGCTGGCTCTTTGAAGTGC